AGCCTGGTAGCTGCAAGGGTTAGCAGCTTTACAGATAAGGGCAGTCCTGAGCATAAACCCAACTACATTTGCACAGAACGGTAGCTAACCTATCCCTCGATGCCTTAAATCTTGGTATTTGCTTCTCTTCCTAATAAATGTCTTTTGCGGCATTTTTTTTTTCCTCCAGAATGGGGCACTTTTGTCTGCATTAAAAACCTTTTCAGACTGATATTCCTTCTTCTCAATGATTTCCTTAATGGTGTCTGGGAACTAACCCGCTGCCTCGTGGTGAGAAGAAGCTGCTTCTCTTGTTGACATTTTAAAAGCCAAACCTCTAGAATTATCAAACCAGCCATTGCGGCATTAAATTTTCCAGCTTTAGATCCTTCATCTTCCTTTTTCTTTTGAAGTTGCCATATAGACTTCGCTTTTTCTCAAATCATATGAGTCTCTAAGTATGTCTTACTTATAACAGTTCTGCACCTACATAAAAGCTGCATTTTCAGTATGATAAAAAGGTATTTCACAAAAAGTGCAAAGTTTTCACACCTGCTGGCTTAGCTGCAGTGACGGATTCATGAATTTTTTTTTTTTTTTTTTTACAGTGATCCTTATACTGGATTCATTTATCTTGAAATGGCAGGCACCTGCAGCTTTGGACTTCGATCTACAGTACATATCAAGCAATTCAACTTTTTCTTATAATGTCATGACTTCTCTTTTAGGGAGCACTTCCAGCATCATTAGTGGCACTTCATATGGGTCCCATGGTGTTATTTGGGGGTTTACAGTATTTCACTAAACATGATGAAAAATACGTGAACTGGGAGAGATGACTTTGTACTGTAATATACAATTTATCAGAGATGAACTGCTCCGTGACAGTGTCACACAGCATTTTAAGTGTATACAACACTTGAGCTTAAGGCAATACCAGCAGGTGGATACAAAATTATTACAGAAATACAGATGTGGGACAGTTAATTTTATACAGTTATCACTGCTGAATCTTTTAGTTTACATTTGTCTCAAGTGCAAATGGCATCATGTATGGTCTGCTTGTGTGTGTAAGTTTTGACAAATCTTAACTTTGCATAATAGATTTGTGTATATTTTATGGTAGTGATAAAAGACTATTTTCCACATTTTGTGCATTCGTGATATATTTTGCTTAAATTTTCAATATTTCTAGCTTACATGGTCCATCTGTGAGTTTTTCAAATTGTCCCAAATCTTCAAAAAATTTTCCAATATATTTATTGAAAAAAAATCCGTGTATAAGTGGACCTGCACAGTTCAAACCCGTATTGTTCAAGGATCAACTGTATATATTTGATATATAAATTGGCAGAAATCTGTAAACTAAGATTATAGCATTTATAACGTCAAAACACTGAATACATAAGACCAAATAAAAATGTTCAAAATTTCTACACTGAAAAAATACAAAAATTGCTGATTAAAAGATGTGTATAAATGAAAAGGTATAACATGCCCATAGACTGGGTGTCTCAATATTGTTAAAGTGTCCATTCTTGTAAATTATATATTTGATGTAATGCCCATTAAAATCTCAACTTTTCGGTGTGGAACAATTGAAAAAATAAATCATTCAAAGATGTATATGAAAATGCCAAGGATCTAGAATTGCAGTGACAATTTTGAACAAGAACAAAATTAGAAGACATATACCACCAGACGTCAAGACTTACTATAAATCTGTTTACCCTAAGAACATTTGGTGTTCAATGGAATAAAAGAATAGAATAGATAATTTAGAAACAGACCCCCATATATGATCATCTGATTTATCATAATACCACTATGACACAAGGGGGAAAGGAGAAGGTGGCCTTTTCAATTAAATGATGTCAAATAAATTGTATATTTGTACAGAAAATATTAATTTGACCTCTACCCCACACCACACATAAAAATTAATTTCAGATGGATTGTAGACCTAAAAGTGAAAAGTGCAGAAGAGAATGTAGGAAAATATCTTTATGACTTTGGATTAGGAAAAAATTTCTTACACTGGGCACAAAAAACACTAATCATAAAAGACTGATTAGTTGTTCATTAAAATTAAAGTCTTCTATTCATCAAAGGACATCAAGGCAAGCTGGAGATGAAGAGATGATGTTTGTAACACAAATATCCAAAAAGTACCTTGCACCCAGAATATAGAAAGAATCCTACAAATGAACAAAGAGTTCCCAATTAAAAAACATGGGCAAAAGTCTTGAAAAGGCACTTCTCAAAAGAGGATATTCAAAAAGCCAGTAAGCACCTAAAAGGAGATTCAACATCATTAGCCACAAAGGAAATACAAATTAAACCTATAATGAGATACTGCCACACACTAGAATCAGGCTTTGTCGCCTTTCCTCTCCATTGAAATTGCTCTAGTAAAGGTGGCCTGTGTCATCTCCATCCCCTAACCCTGTGGACACTCTTCAGTTATGTCATTTGAACCTGACCATGCTCCTCTTCTTGAAATGCTTGGCTCTAAGGCAGGGAAGAGGGTTTTATGTGTGGTGAGGATTAGGAGGTAGAAAGGAGCAGCCAGCAGACTAGGCATCAAGTTATGTCAATGCTTTAAGAGCATGGTCTTTTAGGGGTAATATTTAAAGGTTTAACTCTCAAACTTTCCAATCAGAAACTGGTATATTACATCCAAAGGAGGTATGTTTCTTGGTAACAGTTTGAAGTTCCACTATTAAAATTCAATCAGAAATGGTCATTTTAAAGTGTCAAATTATTCACTTGTAATGGGGGGAAGCTCATATCATTTGTCCAATATCCCCCTCCCAAAATTAAATAGATACATATTCTAACATTGTGGGAGGGGTATTGGATTCTCTTTTTTTCAGCCTCCACAGAAGCATAGCTCATCATGTCTTGTCCTTTTTGGATATCAGGTCCATGGTCTTTTAGGGTCTTCTGGTATCAGGGCTGCAGCCTCTAGGTTCTCATTTTTGTTGCAGGACTCTTAGTATTTCCAGAACTTCCAAGATTTCATTTATGGGCTTGGGTATCGTTGGCTGTTTCCTCTCTCTCTAATCCATCACGGAACGTTCTGTGAGGCTGTACATGGAACTTTTCACCATTGTGACATTTTCTTCAGTGTCATGTTGAAGGTGGAACTTCTCTTGAGGCTTGCAGACCTCTAGTCTACAGCCTGGACGCCAAGTTCCAGATACTCTTGGATAAGTTTTCTATTTGTCTGAAATTACTACCTCCTCCAAATGAAACCAAGAGGGTAGAGGGAATGAGGTGCTGGGTAACTTCTCTGGAATCTAGGCAGCATCAGAACCAATTCCCATGCTCTTAGATCCATGACTGCCCCTACCTTGCCAATGTATTAGGGTAATTTTGGTACGTAACAGGTATCCAGTGAATTACCTCCACAAGCAAAATAGGTTTTTACTGTTTATGATAATATTACATGCTCATTGAAAAGAAAAACTTATGAATTATAGAAAAGTGCAGAAGTCAGACAAACAAAAAATACTGGATACTCCATGACTCTAAAACAACCATTTTCAGAGACCATCCTTTGATTCATGGTTCTCAAAAGTTCACACAAATACAGTTTTACATTGAGTTTTAAGCCATACATGCTACATTTAAATTAAAAAAAAAATTCCAGTCCTTTCCCCCATTTATCCCCCTACTTCTCTTCTCCCTTCCTTCAAGGTAACCAATAATAACAGCCTGGTATACATTCTTCTGGTATATATACTTGTTTCCATGCTCAACACATAAATGGGTGTAATCGTTAACAAAAATAAAATCCTGTACACATAAAGCTCTGTAATAAAGCTATTAGTTATTAAAATTTGTGGAAATACCTTGAGATCAACTAATGTAGAAATAGCTAATTTTAAAAATTACTATCAGGCTGTTCCACAGAATGGTTACATCACAATTTATTCCACCATTCCCCCATCAATGGGCATTCACTTTGTCTCCACTTGGTTTTCTACTTTGTCTCTACAAACAATACTTCGACAGATTGTGTGTATTTTTATGCATTGATGATGTTATTTCTGTGGGGGCAGATTCCCAAAGTGAGACTGCTAGGTCAAAGTATTTTTATTTTAAAATTTTATTTAAAAACTTTAAAATATATGTTGCTGAATTGCTGGTGGAACTATAAGTTGATAAAACCTTTTTGTAAAAGTAGATGGCTCCCCAAAACCCACTAGCAAAAGATCTCTTAATTTTTGCCAGCTCCACGAAGTGGAAGTGACATCTCACTGGTTGTCTTAATTTGCATTTCCCTGAGTGCTCCTTAGGTTCATAACATTTTCAGAGATTAATGGCCATTTACTCTTCTATGACTAGCCATCTAGTCCAGATGGATTAAAGACTTTAATGTAAAAAATAACCAAAATCTTAGAAACAAATTTAGGAGACTATGGTATAATCAGGGATTAAGGAGACCCTTTTAACTAAAAGAGTAAATTAACAATCTAAAAAGGAAAATGTATAAATATCTTACTATGAAAAATTAAAATGTTAAAGTCTTTTACTATATAAAAAAGCATAAAGACAATCACTAGATTAAAAAAATTTACAACACACATGAAAAAGGATTAATATTTCAAATATATAAGAGCACCTCCAAATTTATAAGAAAGACAAACCAATAGAAAAATAGGCAAAAAATATATAGGCAATTCATTGAAGATGATTTGTTAAGTGAATAAAGTATGAAATCTGGATGAATTCTTTCATTTGTCCATTATTTTTCTCTATTGTGAATTTTCTTAGAACTTCTAAGATTTAATATGACTGTATGCTTTACCACATTCTTATGTTTCTAAAGTCTCTCTTTTTAAAAGATTTTATTTATTTGAGAGAGAGCAAGAGCAGGGGGAAGGGCAGAGGGAGAAGCAGACTCCCCACTGAGCAAGGAGCCCGATGTGGGGCTTGAACCCAGGACCCTGGAATCACGACCTGAGCTGAAGGTAGATGCTTAACCGACTGAGCCACCCAGGCGCCCCCTCTAAAGTATCTCTTAAGTGTGTATTTTCTGATGAATTGCTCCTGGAAGTTTTCCCACATTCATAAAAGACACAGTTTATGATTCTTCTTGTGGAGTTGGCATCTGGATGAATGATTTATTAATCTTTATATTAGCTGAGTTTCTCTTTGATGTATTCTTTGATGTACAGTAAGGCTTGAGCTACTCCTAAAGGCTTTTCCACATTCATTACATTTATAGGGTTTTTCTCCAGTATGCATCCTCAGATGTACAGTAAAGTCTGAGTTGGTTCTGAAGGCTTTTCCACATTCTTCACATTTGTAGGGCCTTTCCCCAGTATGAATTCTCTGATGTAGAGTTAGCTGCGATAGAGTGATGCAACCTTTTCCACATTCCTTGCATGTATAGGGTTTTTCTCCAGTATGTGTTCTCCAATGCACTGTTAGGTATGAACCCCTCCTAAAGGCTTTTCCACAGACATCACATTTATAGGGTTTCTCTCCACTATGGATTTTCTGATGTTCTGTGACATGTACCATCTGGCTAAATGCTTTCCCACAGTCATTACACTTAAATGGTTTCTCTCCGGTATGCGTTCTCTGATGGGTATTAAAGCCTGAGTTACTTGTGAAAACCTTCCCACACTCATTACATTTATAGGGTTTTTCGCCAGTATGCCTTCTTTGATGTACAGTAAGTTGTGATGTATTAGTGAAAGCTTTCTCACAATCATTACACTTATATGGTTTTTCTCCAGTATGTGTCCTTTGATGTACAATAAGGTATGACTTAGTCCTAAAAGATTTTTCACAATCATAGCATTTATAAGGTTTCACTCCAGTATGAATTTTCTGATGCTCTTTGAGATTTACCATTTTGGTAAATGCCCTCTCACATTCATTACATTTATATGGTTTCTCTCCAGTATGAATCCTCTGATGTACAGTTAAGTGTGATTTTATTCTGAAAGATTCCCCACATTCATTACATAGATAAGGTTTCTCTTCAGTATGAATTCGCTGATGTATAATTAGGGATGAAGAACGCATGAAGGCCTTTCCACACTCATTACATTTATAAGGTTTCTCTCCTGTATGCATTCTGTGGTGTACAGTAAGGCATGAATAATTAATGAATGCTTTCCCACATTCATTACATTTATAGGGTTTTTCTCCTGTATGAATTCTTTGATGTTCTGTGAAATTTGCTATACGATTGAATGCTTTCCCACATTCATTACATTCATAGGGTTTTTCCCCAGTATGAGTTCTTATATGTACAATAAGGCTTGAATTACTTCTGTAGGCTTTCCCACATTCATTACATCTAAAGGGTTTCTCTCCAGTATGAATTCTCTGATGGACATTAAAAATTGTGGTATTCTTGAAAGATTTCCCACATTCATTGCATTTATATGGTTTCTCTTCAGTATGGGTCTTCTGATGTACACTAAGATATGACTTATTCCTAAAGGCTTTCCCACAATCATTACATTTGTAGGGTTTCTCTCCATTGTGAGTTTCCTGATGTCTTGCAAGTTTTGATTTATCACTGAAAGCTTTCCCACATTCACTACATTTATAGGGTTTCTCTCCGGTTTGAATTCTCTGGTGTTGATGAAGGCGAGCACACTGGCTAAAAGATTTTCCACAGACATTGCATTGATAAGGTTTCTCCTTAGTATGAATTCTCTGATGTACCATAAGTGATGAAGAAGCAATGAAGGCCTTTCCACATTCATTACATTTATAGGGTTTTTCTCCAGTGTGAATTTTTTTGTGTTGACTAAGATATGAAGGCTGGCTGAACATTTTCCCACATTCATTACATTCATAAGGTTTTTCTTTAGTGTGAGTTCTCTGATGTTGAATGAGTAGTGACCTATAACGAAAGGACTTTTCACATGTACTACATTTATAGGGCTTTTCTTTATTATTGTATTTTTTCCCTAACGTAAGTTCTGAAGTAGGCCTTATGGCTTTGCTGCCTTCTGTATCCTTGCAAATTTTCTTCCCCATATGTGTATCTGTAATCAAATCTAAATTCTCAGTGAAGTTTTCACGTGTTTGGCATTTGCTGTGGGGTTCTTCTCTGGTAACTCCTGCTTCAGGAAAAAGAATAGATCCAAATCTAAAGCCTCTTTGACAAGAGGGAATTTTCTCGTGAGTAACTATTTTTTGGTTCAAATGATTTTCCTGACTATTTTGCAATCTCAATATCCTTTCATTCCATTCCCATAATCCTCCCATTCTGGAGTTCCATAGACCATTCTCTGTGAGTTTATATATTATGGTCTCTGGTGATACATCTTCAGAAATATCCTCGATTGATACATTCTTGGTTGCAGGTTTGGTCTCCAACTCTGGGGGAAAAAAAGTAAATCAATCAAATCAAATCAAATGACTCCTATTTCCTAAGCTAGGAAGATCTCAGTAAACAGGATAATAAAAGGGAAACCTCAGCTGATAATGAATACGAAGTTTTAACTGCTTGCAAATTGGCCTTGTTTTCTAAGAAGAAAGAGGTAGGTTTGAGGGAGGCTGGTTGAGCCAAGAACCAAAGTAGTAAACTCAGTTTTTCCCCTACTAAAAAAATTCATTTATGGTAACCCTCCTAGAATCTAAGGATCTCAAATACTTCTTTTCTCATTCCCTTTACAGTGAACTTTTCCCCCCAGATCATTCTTCATAAGTTGTGACTACTTTCTTGCTTCCCATTTACTCTACAAACCAGGCATTAGTTCCCAACCATACTTTCTATTTGTCCTCATTCTTTGCTTAGCTTTTTGTATGAGGCCTTTCTCAAATAAGGGCATTTGTTCCCAACCATACTTCCTATTTGTTCTCATTCTTTGCTTGCTAGCTTTTTGTATGAGGGCTTTCTCAAATTTCCCAGGGTAGTTTATTCAAGTCTTTGTATGTACTTTTTAATCAGACGTTTATGGAAAAAAACACTACGATTTTTCAGAAAGTGGTTGAACAGCAAATTAGTCAAAATTAATATTTATAGTTATAATGTTTCAAATAGTAATAATAATCATCAAGGGTAGTTTTGCAACCTTTTTATCTCCTAAGAACATTCCTGAAAGTCTGTCAAAAAAAACCGGATCAAAACTACTTACACCTTGAATTTTAAAGTCATGAAACATTCCACTATCCACAAAAGGTTTTCATCCAATTGTTTTTATTTATTTATTTTTTAAAGATTTAATTTATTTATTTGACAGAGAGAGACACAGCGAGAGAGGGAACACAAGCAGAGGGGGTGGGAGAGAGAGAAGCAGGCTTCCTGCTGAGCAGGGAGCCCCATGCGGGGCTTGATCCCAGGACCCCGGGATCATGACCTGAGCCAAAGGCAGACGCTTAATGACTGAGCCACCCAGTCACCCCGATCCTATTTGTTTTTAAACATTTAGAAATAATTGCCTGAAAGTTAATTAGAAATTTATTTATTTTTAAAGATTTTGTTAATTTATTTGACAGAGACACAGTGAGAGACGGAACACAAGCAGGGGGAGCGGGAGAGGGAGAAGGAGAAGCAGGCTTCCCGCTGAGCGGGGAGCCCGATGGGGGGCTCGATCCCAGGACTCTGGGATCATGACCTGAGCTGAAGGCAGATGCTTAACAACTGAGCCACCCAGGCACCCCAGTTAATTAGAAATTTAAAAGAAGTATAAAAATGCAGGGGCGCCTGGGTGGATCAGTTAAGCATCTGCCTTTGGCTCAGGTCATGATCCCAGGGTCCTGGGATTGAGCCCCACATCTGGCTCCCTGCTCCGTGGGGAGCCTGCTTCTCCCTCTCCCTCTGCCTCTCCTCCTGCTTGTGCGTTCGCTCGCTATCTCTGTCAAATAAATAAAAAATCTTAAAAAAAAAAACAAGTATAAAAGTGCAGAACGCCTGACTGGCTCAGTCAGTTGAACATCTGACTCTTGATCTCAGCTTGGGTTTTGATCTCAGGGTTGTGAGTTCAAACCTCATGTTGGACTCCACGTGGAGCCTACTTAAAAAAAAGTATAAAAGTGTTTTAAAAAGTAAAATATTGGGGTCCCTGGCTGGCGGAGTCAGTTAAGTGTCCAGCTCTTAGTTTCAGCTCAGGCTGTGATCTCAGAGTTGTGAGATTGAGCCCCAAGTTGGGCTCTGTGCTGTGTGGAGTTTGCTTGAGATTCTCTCTCCCTCTCCCACTCCCACTTGTGTTCGGTCTCAAATAAATAAATAAATCTTTAAAAAAAAAAAAAAAGTAAAATATTGGGGCATCTGGGTGGCTCAGTTGGTGAATGTCTGACTCCTGGGTTTTGGCTCAGGTCATGATCTCATGGGTCCTGAGACTGAGCCCTGCATTGGACTCCACACTCAGTGGAGGGTCTGCTTGAGGATTTTCTCCCTCTGCCTCTCCCCCTACCTGTGCATGCATGCCTGGCTCACTCTCTCACAAATAAATTTTTTTTGAAAAGAGTAAAATATCAAATTGTATATACAAGCAAGTTTTACGACCACCACTCCACAGTGTAATCTTTTTTAAAAAGACCAAGATTTGAGGGTCGCCTGGCTGGCACAGTTGGTAGACTATGCAACTCTTGATCTCAGGGTTGTAAGTTCGAGCCCCACATTTGGTGTAGAGTTTACTTAAAAATAAAACCTTAAAAAAAAAAAGGACAAAGATTTGGATTCAGGGACACCAAAGAGGGCACCCCTAGAACCCTGTTCACCTAAACGTTTAATTGAATTAAAGTAACTGGGGACAGTTACAGCCTTTATCCTAGCAGCCCACCAAGGCAAATAATTCTCTATGGAAAAAGATTACACAATCCAGAACTTCAAGTTCTCATATCAATGCTTGACAATGAAAAATAATAGGCATACAAGAAGACAAAAGTCTCATTAGAAAAAAGTCAAGAGAGGGGCACGTGGGTGGTGTAGTTGGTGAGTGTCCACTCTGGTTTCAGCTTAGGTCATGATCTCAGAGTCGCGAGATTTGAGCCCTGTGTTGGGCTCCATGCTGAGCTCAGAGTGTGCTTAAGTTTCTCTCTTCCTCTCCCAACCCCCCCACTCTGCTCTCTTTCTCTCTCAAATAAATAAATCTTAAAAAAAAAAAAGAGAGGAAAAAAAAAAGAAAAAAGGAAAAAGGAAAAATTCAAGAGAAAAACAGATAATAGAAACAGATCTAAAAGGTATCCCGACAGTTGAGGTCTTAAAATAATGCTGATTAGTACATTCAAGAAAATAAGACAAGACCAATAATATCATCAAATAATTGGAAAGTATAAAATAAGAATCAAATGCCAATTCTAGAACTGGAAAATAAGAACTCAAAGACTAAAAGCACAGTAGATACAACACATGAGAATGTTAACAAAATGGAAAACAGGTCAGTAGAAAATATGCATATTGGAGTACAGAATGATGAAAAACTTGAAAAATTTATTTTAAAAAACATTACAGAGACAAATAGGATAGAGTGAAAAGGTCTATCACAGATGTAAGAGTCCCAGAAGACTAGAAAGAGAAGTGAGACAGAATGAGATGAAATCAAGTTCAAAGACATTAACACCAAAACATTTTCCAAAACAGATAAAAAATATCAAGCCACAGATATTAGAAGCCAAATTAATCCCAAGTAGGAGAAATACAAAGGAAATATAAAATAAACTGAAAGACAGATTTCCGTCAAGGGGAAACAATCAGATCACAGGTTGCAAACTACAGCCAAATCTGTTCCACTATATGTTTTTGTATGGCCAGTGAGATAAGAATATATAGTTTTAAATGGTTGAAAAATATATTAAAAGGATAATATATTGTGACACACTAAAATCATATGAATTTCAAATTTCAGTGTCCATAAATAAGGTTTTGCTGGAAACTTAACCACATTCTTTGGTTAACATTTTGTCTTTGGATGCTTTTGTACTTACAATTGCTAAATGGAGTAGTTGCAACAGAGCTATTATGTTTCCACAATGCCTAAAATATCTACTGTCTTACCTTTTACAGAAAAGGTTTGCTGACTCCTGAATTAAACAGATGGTTGACTTGTCAACAGATTTGATGTAAGACAGAAAACAATGGAATGATATTTTCACAATGCTGAAACAATGTGATGCCAACCTAGAAGTCTAAACTTAACAAAAATGTTATCCAAAAAGAAGATTAAAAATATTTTTAGATAAAAAGAAAAATGGAGGGATGCCTGGGTGGCTCAGTCGTTAAGCGTCTGCCTTCGGCTCAGGTCATGATCCCGGGGTCCTGGGATTGAGTCCCACATCGGGCTCCTTGCTCAGTGAGGAGCCTGCTTCTCCCTCTCCCTCTACTGCTCCCCCTGCTTGTGCTCTCTCTCTCTCTGACAAATAAATAAATAAAAATCTTTGGGGAAAAAAAAAAGAATGAAAGAGGCAGTCTTAAAAAAAAAAAAGAAAAATGGAGGGAATAGGATACTGGCAGGTGTGAATAAAATTAAATATTAGAGAGTATTCTTTAAGCAGAAGAAAAATAACCCTAGGTAGAAGCTTAGAAATGAAGAAAAAGATGAAGAGAAAGTATAGGCAAAAATATAGATAAATCTAAATGAATACTGACTGCATAGAACATAGTCTTATGAGATTTGACATGTAAATAGAATTAAAATACATAATTTCAACAACATATAAATTAGGTTAAATAAGTTGTTCTAAGATACTTGTGTTGTTTGGGAAGAGAGAAAATTTAAGAGTGCTGAATCAATGATGCATGCTTTAATCTCAACGTTAACCATTAAGCAAATAATTTTAGAAATTTATAATTATCAAGTTATTAGAGGGGGAAATAGAAAAATAAGAGATAATAAATCTAAAGGCATGAATGGGGAAAAAGAGAATACAGAACAGGCAAGATACTTTCACAGTTGGATGACAGATTTAAACACCATGTAACTGTATTATGTAAATATGAACTAAATACTCCAAAGATACAGACTGTCCCTCAGGTTATTTAGAAGTAATTTTGTACCATCTGGGTCACAAACAAAATCTGGTTAAGATAAAAATCTAACAATTGGTTAAAACAAAAATCCAACAATATGCTACTTATAAGAGAAACAAAATACAAGGATATATAAAAGATAACAGAATTAAAATGAGGTACTATATAAACAATAACCAAAAGAAAGGTGCTATAGTGGTATTAGAACAAGGCAAAATAGACTTTAAGGCAAAAACCATTATGGAGATAAAGAAGACACTTCAGAAGAATAAAAGGTCCAATTTAACAGAAAGGTATAACAGTTACAACTTTGTATTTACCTAATAACACAGCCTCAAAATACATTAAAAAAAATTAAAGTAACTAAAATAAGAAACAGACAAATCTACAGTCTTACTGGGAAACATT